TTATTTGGCCCATGCATGTTCATCTGTTGAACATATTTCTGGGCAATGTCTGCAGTACAGATTTCTCCAGGCAGGCCTTCATTCCCAGAACAGACTGTGAATACTCTTATGCAAATCACGTTAATGCTATGTTAAGGAGGCAGTATATTTTCCGGCACTCAGTCAAACAAAATAGCTGGGAATCAGCACCTTGTTCCACCGAGGAGACTTACTTTCGGCCCATCTTCTACCTGCATTTCCACCCATGTAGCAATCTCTACCAAAGGGAAAATTTATCCAAGCCAAGGAAGAGCCCACAATCCAAGAAGGAGGAAAATTGTTACACCATTGGGTATGTGAAAAAGCACTGGTACAAATGGGAAGCCTCCTCTTCCATTAAAGAAGAACAGTTTGGCACCTGCCAACATCCCTGTGTGTTGAGGGCTACAGGCTTGGTTTATACATGTAGGGGAAGGAGGTCGTTGGGAGTTGAACTGGTAAATTGCACCACTTGACTGCAAGCCAGGTTCGAAATGTGGCTTCACTTTATAAACTTTATGCAAACAGAAAGCTAGCACAGCAGGGGAAAGCTTCTACATCACATTTTGCTTCCTGTGCTGGTTCTCTCTTTGCAGGGAGTCCTTAACACAGGGAAAATTCCAAGATCTGGTGATGCACCTGTCCTCTGAAGTCATGCAGTGCACCCTGTCACCTCTGTGTTTCACCACAACATTCCTACCGCATTTTCCTGCATGCTTTAATCATCTCTTGGTGGTGGTGGTGGTGGCGGCGGCAGCGGCGGTGGCGGCAGCCTCTCTCCAGGCTGCTAAAATAAGCAGCACTGCCCCCTCCGGCCCTGTCTCTCTGCAGAGGGCATCAGTGGTGAAAAGGGAAAAGGCCGAGCCCTACCAGGAGGGCCCAATAAATCTGGCATCCTGTTTCCAGCAGGGTCATCCAGAAAGTTAACCAATTCTTCCTCCCCCATCAAGTCCAGGAGGAAAAGAACTGACTTAAGCAAGTTTAAGAAATATTTTGTAGTGCAAAGGAGTGCAATGGGTCCGGCATCCAACTGGTTTAGCCCTGGAACCTGTTTCTAGTGTCAAGGTCAGCCGTGAATCATGAAATCAAATTGAAAATCAAATAGTCTTTCAGCCCTGACCTGGATAGCCCAGGCAAGCCCAATCTCATCAGATCTCGGAAGCTAAGCAGGGCCGACCCTGGCAAGTATTCTGATGGGAGACCTCCAGAGAGTACCAGAGCCAGGAGGCCAGAGGCAGGCTATCAAGCCACTTCTCTGAATGTCCTCCATGCCCCAGTAGGAGCCCCCAGAGGTCACCATGACTTCCAGGCAGGGGCACACCCACCCACACACCAATGCAAAAAACCCTCCTCCCCCCGAAAATCATAGTATAGTCTTTCTGAGCATGTGTCCAGTGCCATTCCCTTCCCCATGAATATTCACGGTCAGGAGGGTGGGGGGAGGTTCGACAAGACCCAGCGGCCCCCTCTAGATATATTCCAGGTTTGGTTGCAAGGGGGGGAGGGGTCTCTTTTCCTGCACTTCGGAAAATCCATAGCCATACCATCTACCCCAGAGCAAAGATCACCGGCTTGCGTTCTGCTTCAGGCGCCAGCGCCCATCATTCTCTTCAGCACTGAAGGGAATTAGCAAGCCGGGCAGAGAATGAGGGGCGCCGTCAGCAGAAACCTTGCACTGTTTTGGAACGCGGGGAAGACTGCTGTCCCCCGCCCCGGGCAGGGCTCGCTTTGAACGGATCGCAGGTCGTCCCAGGAATCCTGGCCTGGGGCCGCCAGCCAATCGGATCGCGAGCGCTGCAGATTCCCAAAGCCAAGCCAGGGGGGCAAGGCGGGGCACCGGGGGAGCCGTCAGCCTTGGCGCCGTCTTCTGAAACCAAGACCGCTTGGCAGGAGCCGCGCCGCTGGGCGTCGAATCAAAATGTCACTCCCACCCCCCAGGCATAGCTGCCCCCCCCCCGCCCAATCTACGCTCTTTTTCCTTGGACCCGACGGGAGGCGCCTGCGCCTTCTGGACGCAGTTCTTCGCGCCTGAGAAGTCCCCGGCGCTGAGCTTGCAAATGCAAACCCGAAGGGGTCGTTTCCTCTTGCACTGTTGCACACACAGCGTCCGAGAGGACTTTTTGTTCTGCCGTTTGACACACTGTTGGGAAAAGCCGGACTCTTCTGGCGCAATCGGTCGTAGTCGAATTCTGCGTGCGGCTCCCTCCTTCCTTCCACCGGGGGGCTTCCTGATCCTCTCCCATCCAGGCTTCTGTAAGGTCCAGGCCCTGCTCCGATCACAGCAGAGGGCCCGGTGACCACATGGCGACTGGCAATAGGCTCAGAAGAGACCCGAGATGGCCGGCAGGCCAAGGGATCCCCGGTCACAAATGGCCGCGTTGGCACTAACAAAACTGGGTTTTTGAGAGGGCGAGAGACGAATACGGACCCCAGCTTTGGGACGTACTAAAACTAAAGACAGCGATTTCCCATTGGGAATACATGAGTGCCCATAGAGAATAATGGAGAGTAGGCTTGCCCAGAGGGGATAGTGCAGTAAAGAATTGCCAATAGAAAATCCATAATTACCAATAGAGAATTCATGACTGCCCATAGGGAATAATGGAGAGGTCGCTTGCCCATACGGGATTATGGAGTTCATAGTTGCCAATAGAGAACCCATAATGCCAATAGAGAACCCATGACTGCCCATAAGGAATAAGGGAGAGGACGCTTGCCCATAGGGGATAATGGCGTACATAACTGCCAATAGAGAATCCATGATTGCTCATAGGGAAATAATTGTGAAGAGAGAATCCATGATTGCCTATAGGCAATATTGCCCAAAGGTCATTCCGGCTCTCCCAGCTCTCGTTAGGGGCTCTTTAAAAAGTTATGCCCCCCGCTGCTATCCGCAGCGGCTGCAATGGCTGCGGGGACGGGGCGAGAAACGTTCCACCGCCTCCCTCAGCCCCGGGGTGCTGGCCTTGGATACCTATGGGCAAATTCCACCTCTAGCGTGTGATGTCCGAGCGGTCATTCCGGCTTCCCCAGCTCTCGTTAGGGGCTCTTTAAAAAGTTATGGCCCCCGCCGCTATCCGCAGCGGCTGCAATGGCTGCGGGGACGGGGCGAGAAACGTTCCACCGCCTCCCTCAGCCCCGGGGTGCTGGCCTTGGATACCTATGGGCAAATTCCACCTCTAGCGTGTGATGTCCGAGCGGTCATTCCGGCTTCCCCAGCTCTCGTTAGGGGCTCTTTACGAAGTTATGGCCGCCGCTGCGGCGGCGGCGGCTGCAACGGCTGCGGGGGGCGGGCGAGAAACGTTCCGCCGCCTCCCTTGTACATTTTCCACGGTCAGTCGGCTGCCTAGATTTCCTTTCAGAAGAAGGCGGGATCGATGGCCATTAATCCATTAAGTTGCCCATCCAGAACGTCCTTCTATAGTGCGGCAGTTGCCAACATAAAGAAAGGGTCACAGCTGGGGGGGGGGGGGCGCTCCGAATGCCCGGTCCTCCAGGGACCCCCGCAGCCCCGGCGCAGCTCCACTTACAGCTCTTGTTCTCTGATAGATTCCTTCATTAGCCGCCTCTTCAGTACCCTGTTTCAAAAGGTGTGTACAGTCTGTCAGTAAAACATTCCTAAAGACAACACCAATACCATTACCCTAAATAGCACCGAGTGAGCCGGGCTTGCCAAGGAGGTTTTTTAACCCTATCTCACCTCCCACCCCCAGGCAGGCAGGAGGGCATGGAAGAACAGCTGGGGGGGGGGGGCTTTCAGGACTAGAGAAATGCGCTTCGGTTTTCCGCTAGTCTTCGAACGAGAAAGCGGGACTTCGACGAGTCTTGTACGCGACGTCTAGTAAACAATTCCCTCCCCTCGGCTCCACCTTCTGCGTCACCTCCAGTATGAAGTGTGTCTTCACCGACGGATTCCAGGTGTCCAAACGGTGCAACGGTGCATCTGAGACAGCCGCTTGTGCTTAACAAACCAGGATTGCGATTAGCATATTTAGGAGCAAGAGAAGGGGGGGGGAGATAATGGGAAACAGAACGAAAATCTTAAAAGAAGGAAGGAAGGAAGGAAGGAAGGAAGGAAGGAAGGAAGGAAGGAAGGAAGGAAGGAGGAGATGCTGCATTTGTTGACTGGCCCCTGCTTCGGCCCACTGGAGGCTGGAATCCCCTTCCCGAGGGAGAGGGGGGGAGCTGCAGGGTGCTCCCTGGTGAGTTCGGATCGGGACCCGGTCAGCTACGTCTGGGTCCCAGGCTCCCTGGACAGCTCTTGAGTCTTGACTAACTTGCCTCGAACCCGCCCAGGGCCTCGGGGCGGGCCGGGGGCTGAGTCAACTCCGCACCAGCCCACAGGCCGAAGGCGAGCTGCGGGTCTCACCCCCCCCCCCCCCCCGCAGCACTCCTGGCCTCGGTCCCCCTGTCCGTCCCGCGGGGGAGAGTATCGAAAGCATTCCTCCGCAAGGGGGCGACTTCGGGGAGCGCCGGCTGGCCATCCCGGCAGGTTCTTGCCCGTGCGCCGGGAAGCGGAGCAGCGGCAGCAGCAGCAGCAGCCTTGCTCTCTCCTGTCCCGTCGCGGTCCTCATCTGGCAGGCCTGTCGGGCAGGGAGCCAAGGGAGGCCGGGGCGGGCCTGGCACGGGACAGGGCAGCCGCCAAGGCTGGTGTGGGGATTTCCCTCCCTTCTTCTGACGTCAGCGCCAAGCGGAGCCCCCGCCGGCCGCTGCGGCGATCGGGTAGCCGGAGAGTGTCCGATGCGAGCCCCGGGAGAGGAGAGGAGACTCCGCCTTCTGCAAAGCTTTGGGAGGCGGGACCCCCCCAGGCCGAAGGCGGGGGCGCCGCCCGTCGAGGAAGCCCCTCCCCGCCCGCCTCTCTCCCTCTCTCCCCGGACCGAGGCGCAGACCAGGCAGAGTGACCGGAGGCGGTGGACGGTCGGCGGCCCGGACCTACCGTCGGTCGGTGCCAACCCCACTCCCCTCCCTGCCCACCCGCCCCCCCGCCGCGGCCATGCCAGGGCGCTCCGGACAAGGCCGCCTGCGGCTCCCGTTCCTGCTGCTGCTGTTCTCCGCCTGGGCGCAAGGGAAAGGCAAGGTAGGCGCGCACCGCCTGGCTGGAGCTGCCCTCTGTGGCCCCCCGACCGACCGTCACGGCTCTCTTTGCCTGGAGCGGCCGAACCCCCCAACCCCGCCCCAGAAAACGAGCTTCTCGCTTCCTTTCACGGCACGGAAAGGAACGGATCGGGCCCTCTTTCGGGTCGCATAACGAACTAACCCTCTGCGGCGAACCTGGAAAAGCCGCTGCCCGCCTAGACGAACCCCTCCCCTCGCGGTGGTCCCGTATGGATGACGAGAAGGGGCATTTGTAATGCCACTGAGCATTCTGGGAGCCTTGACGGTCACGCTCCTCGCCCAGGGTCACCGAAGGCAGAAAACTCCCGCTGGGTCCCCGTGCCTGATCAGGCGCGGTTCTTCGACTGAGACGACGGGGAGGGGTGGGGTTTGTTTTTTAAATGTTTGCATTGTTCTTAGATTTCGTCCCGCCTTTCCTCAAAAGTTCGCGGGGACAACCTGCAGAGAGGTTACGGGTTTCTGCAGAGGCTGGGGACTCTCCAGCCATGTAGAAAAATCCCGGTTTGCAGAAGAGGATCGAAAGAGGGTGCACTCGGGCATTCCAGGCAGCTGAGGTTAATAGAATGGGGGACCAGACCGAAAGGCGGGCAGTAATCGGGCATTTCGAGCCCTGAACAGCGCCAAGTAGCCTGAAGGGGGGGGGGCAGAACTAGTTTTTTGCCCCTCCTTGCCCCCTCCCAGCGCAAGATACTGGGAGCTCTTCAGGGATCTGTCCTCTTGGAAGCTTCCTCTGCCCCTCGTTTGAGGATCCCCCCCCCCGCCAAGATCTCGTTCCAGGACAATGGCGCTGGCCCCTCTTTAAGGGACTGGGAGTTGAGAAGAGGGTCGGGGCATGGGGGCCAATTCCCCCCCCCCCAAACTCTCCCATACCTGCTGCAGCGCACGGAAGCAGAGATCCTGGTCTCTTTCCCCCGCAGCAAACTCAGGGGGAATTTCAGACAGGTGCTATCTCCCGGTAGGGAACCGATTCTCAACCAGGTTCTGGTTTCTGCTTACCCGGCTCCGATCCTCAGCTCAGCTGTCAACACTGCAGCATCCGCGGGCTAAAGAGTTAGTGTGAGCTAGCTCACAAGGGCCCGGCGGTGTCCCAGTTGTTTCTCCCGTCCGTCGGCCTGCAGCGCCGTCCAATCTACCCACCCCCACCAGTGTTCCCTCTCAGCTGAGTTAGTGTGAGCTAGCTCACAAGTTTTTAGCCTCCGGCCAAATCGTTCGCTCACAACTTGAATGCCAGTAGCTCACAAAGTAGAATTTTTGCTCACAGGACTCCACAGCTTAGAGGGGGCATTGCCCACCACCCCAGCGCAATTTGAGAAGCGGTGGATCACCCTGGGATCTGGGATGGGCCCTCTGGGAGGGGGAGGGGAGGGTGTTCGGGGGCCTCTCTGTGGGGCGCGAACCGGTAGGAGGGGTGGGGAGATCCCTTCCACAATTCCCAGGGGAAGAAAGGCCGGGGCTTGGATTTCAGAAGGGATTGGGGGGGGGCAGTTGCCCTGAGTCCTTGTGTGAACCGCAGGTCTGTTTCGAGCGTGGCTTTCTCGGCCTGGGTGGATCCTGCTGGCCCAGGAGGACTCCCACAGCCAGCGTCGGCAAGCCGCTGAGGCGGTCTCTGAGCGCGTGCAGAAGGCGCGCCACGCCCGCCGGCCGCCCTGCCTGCCTGGAGCGGGCCCCCGAAGTCGAGGCTGCTTCGGACAATCTTCGGCTGATCCCCTTTGCGTTGGTTGGCCGCATACGGGCCCGGCGGCAGCCGCTGTCCGGCCAGGGAACTGGAGCCTCCCGCTCTCCGCGGCTAAAACGCGGTCCCGGAAAGGGCGGCGCGGTGGATCGGCGCTCTCCGGGGCCTCCTCTGCGAAGCGCGCGGACCAGGGAGCCAGTCCCGGGGCCCTCCGCTCGCTTTCTCCGGCCGGCCCTGCCGCGCTCCGCCTTCCGCCGGCCTGTTCCGCTCCGGCTGCACACGGTGCGCGGGCGGGCGGCCAGCAGCTCCTCCGAGGGCCGTCCGCGACCTCTTTCTCAATCGGAGGAGGCCGGCCGGCTCGCTCGCTCGCTCTCCTCCCCCAGAGCTTGCTGGGGGACTGAGGAAGCCTCGATCGCTCTGCTCTCGCACCCACGCGCAGCCGGGAAGCCAGGCCGAGCAGAGCCTGTGCGCAGCGCATGGCTGGGCCACGGTGAGGTCGAGGGCAGCCCCCGGGGACTGGTTTTTGCGCCTCCTCCAGCTTTAACTTTTGGGGGGGCGATTTTGAAACACTTGACTTCTTGGGGACCACGAGGAAGAAAGACGGCTCCCCTTTTTCTGAGGGGTCCATGTTCCCTCCCCACGCAAACACGTCGCAGGCCAGAACAGCAAGCCTGGAGTGGGGCCGGTAGCTTTCCCTTGTTGATGCTGAGCAGTCAAACAGCCTTACCCAGCCTGTCCCTCCCCAGGCTTTGGTAAAACTGCAGGGCCATGGTCAAGTCAAGGCACCAGAGAACCGGGTGGGACCCAGCAGAAAGGACAACGGTAATTCCCTTTGACGACAACAACAACAACAACGCCACACTAGAAGAAGAAGAGACTGGTTTATACCCCACCCTTCACTACCCTAAGGAATCTCAGAGCGGCTTACAATCTCCTTTCCCTGCCCCTCCCCACAACAGACACCCTGTGAGGTGGGTGGGGCTGAGGGAACTCTGACACAAACTGCTCTTTCAGGAACAGCTCTGAGAGATCTTTTAACTAACCCAAGCTCACAGCAGCAGCTGCATGTGGAGGAGTGGGGAATCAAACCTGGCTCTCCCAGATTAGAGTCCGCGCTCCTAACCACTACACCAAACTGGCTACACCAACTATGTGAGTAGTGCTTCACAGAGTACAAGGTCTCTGCCCCATGCTCCCGAGAATCAAACTACTGAGGCAAGGAATACCAGAAAGGTATGGGAGGGATAGGAGCTGCGGTGGCTCAGGTGGTTAGATGCTGAACTGCAGGCTGTGGAAGGTCAGTAGTTCAGCAGTTCGAGACCCGGGTGCCGCATGACGGAGTGAGCTCCCGTCTCTAGTTCCAGCTCCTACCAACCTAGCAGTTCGAAAGCAAGAAATTGCAAGTAGATAAATAGGTACCACTTCGGTGGGAAGGTAATAGCGTTCCATGTACCTTGGTGTTTAGTCATGCCGGCCACATGACCACGGAAACGTCTTCAGACAGTGCTGGCTCTTCGGCTTTGAAACGGAGATGAGCACCGCAACCCTAGAGTCGGATTCAACTGGCTTTCGAGCAAGGGAACCTTTACCTTTATGGGAGGGGTAGGGAGGCAATCATAAACAGGAAGAATCTGTGTTCATATTCTTCAAATGGTGAGTGAGATTTGGAATGCCTGGGAGACACGTGTCACACCCACATGGCTTGCATTCTGCACATCAGTGATATATTTTTCTCATCTCTGCAGCACCATCTCCAAATGGCACTCATTGCTCAGCAGTTAATCAGTGCGTTAACCACAGATAGAGCTGACTTCATACTAGGGGGGTTCCAAAAAGAAGTCTTGACACCCTAAATGCATTGTGGGAAGCCGCAGCGCCATTATGAATGACTGATGGGGATGCAAAATCCAGCACGTGCCAGATGAGGCCTTGCTGTTTGTTCCTGTCTGGAAAACCACAAACATCCTTCCTGATCAGCAGCCACTCCAGAGCAAGCAGGAGCCTTGAGGATTCTTGGATGGGCTGTGCTCTGCCAGATAACAAAGGCAAGAATGGATGTCTATGTAAACTTTATTGCATTGGCTCAAAGCCTTCACAAGAATGGATGTAAGCTTACAGAGGTCAGCTTCTCTCCTGCATCTGGAAAGAAGGCAGCCCACTCCCTCTGTCCCTGGCATTGCCAGTTGACACTGAATCTTTGTGGAGCAAAGCCTGATCAAGGCCATAAATGTGCTTCAGGCGGTTCTGGGGGGACAGGAAAGGGACCGGGTTTTGGAAGACAGGATCTGGAACGGCTGGCTCGGGAAATAACCATAGAGATAATTGTTGATAGAGGGGTTTCTCTGGCATCTTGGGTATGAGAAAAACAAATACTGAGATCATGTTCATCTGCTTAACCCCTTGCCCTTACCTTCTACCAACTCTGACTCTGCTCTTTCAGAGGGCTGTTGTACACAGGCAACTGCAGAGTTCTCATTGCCACTCTCTCTCTTTGGGTCATGATTCTGACTGCCAAGAAAAAGCTTCCCAGACCTGCCTTGTAGATCTGCCTTCTGTTATTCTTTCGGGGGCCCATTTATTACATCACCAGCTATATGATTGCAGAGGTTGCTTATCTTATTGCCTCTTTGCAGGGTATAGAGGGGAAGTGGCAGGCAGCATCTGCTTTGGAGGACAGCCGCCCTGAAACTCCAGCACCTTGCAAAGTGCCAGCACAGGCTGCCCAAGAGCCCCTGAAAGTGGAATTTGAGGGAAGTGGAGCTAGCAGCGGGGGGGGGGGGGGGGGGGGAGATATTCCATCCCCCAACCTTCAGTGTCTGGAAGTGGCTTAAGCAAACAATGGCCTGCTGGAGAGGAATCTGCTGTCCAAACTGTCTGGGTCATAACAGAAGCAGGGCTGTGGATGCTGCACAGCTGAGCGGGTCTCCCCTGCCCCCAGCTCAGACTCTAATGGAAGGAGTATGTTGGCATACCAAGAGCAGAGAGAGGCATACACCCTTTATTCCAGACCCTAAAATTAGGGGTCTGCAACCTTTTGCAAATTAAATAGCCAAATGATATCAAAATTCAGAGCAAGCAATGAACAAAGAGACAGTATAAGAGAGCTTATTTATATAACTGAAAATGTAACGTTACTTATAATTGCCAGGCTGATCCATAATGTTTTTGCAGTCCATTTGTTGGTTGCCTTGAGGCCTTTCTTAGGAAGCAACTCTTATGTGGTCTCATAATAATACACAGGAGCACCCTGCACAATTGGGCAGGATTCACATGGATTCCTGGCAACTGTT